GCGGTGAGGCGCTGCAGAATCGCCGATCGGTCGCAACCCACTCTGATTCATCTCCAGCGCCCATCTTTGATGTACTATGTACAGTGCCCCGCTGACGCAACTCCATGCGCTGGTACCGCTTCAACCACGGTACATATATTACTGTCCATGACATGTGGGAGTTCACCTCCCTCTGCCATCCTCTTCTCTATCTAATCGGCCTCTTTGCAAAGTATCGCCATGCCGCCGTCTCACGAAATCCTAACTGACGACTATGTTGCCGACCTACTAGCCAAGGAGGCGAACGACTGCTCCCTGAGGTACTCGGCCATGGGGCTGGACGCTTTCAAATCAGACAAGTAAGCCGTCACGTTGGCATTGCGGACAGACCGCATTTCTCGTCTCCGCGGCGGCGCATCTCTAATGGCCGCCTACAGACGCCCGGCAAACCAGCCCAAACCGAACACGCGATTCCTCAACAATATCATTCGGGATACCAACAGCCACAATCGGGCACTTCTCGCCAAAGAAAATGCCGAATCTCGAGCAAGACTGCGCGACCTAGAAGAAGCTGATCGCCGGAAACGAGAAGAGGAAACGCGCAGAGAGCGACGGTCCAAACCCGGTCCGGGCGATACTCGGAAGCGCATGCTCGGCGACATTGCTGCTATCCTCGGCGGGCCATCCAAGAGACGTAGGCAGGCAGAGAGCGACGACAAGTTAGCTGGCAGCGTATCAGACCGCGATGGGTCGAGTTCCAGAAACGACCATGACCGAAAGAGTCAACCGCGGGAGGCGAGTCGCCGAGATGACGACGACACGCCAAGGATTAAAAGGAAGAGGGTTGATGAGCACTCTGAATCTCGCAACAGCCGCCGTTATTCTCATCGACGCGACGAAAGACGTCGCGATCGCCTGTCTAGCTCCCGTGAAGGGCGGGAAGATCGGCATCGCAGACGTGAGGCTCGGTCTCCCCGAGGAGAGGATGACGGCCGTAGACACCGTCATCGTACTGCCACAGAGGAGACGCGCGAATCCCCGCGCTCAGGCAAAGAGGACGAGTCCGACTCCGACCCACTCAACGACATAATTGGCCCGGCACCCCCTTCTAAATCCACTGTTCGTCGCCGAGGACGCGGTCATAACGCCGCCATGTCCGGCATCGACAGTCGCTTCGCCGCCGACTACGACCCCACAATCGACGTGACCCCCGACCCCGATGAGGCCGGGCGCGACGACTGGGATAATGCGGTGGAGGCGTTCCGAGATCGACAGAAATGGAAACAGCAGGGAGCGGAGCGATTGCGCACGGCGGGATTCACTGAGGAGCAGATCAAGAAGTGGGAGAAGGGGGATGCCAAGGACGAGTCGGACGTACAATGGAACAAAGCTGGCGGTGTGCGGGAATGGGATCGCGGAAAAGTCGTCGATACAGAAGACCGTCTGTCTCCCGGGCCAGAATTTGGTCGGTTGAAAGGCACGTAAAAAGCAGCAGAACATTGTCAGAGGGATCATCAAAGTCATTATCACGTCTATTCGCGTTACTCACCCTCTTTTTTTCACCCTCTTACTCATTCTGCTTTCTTCATTCCGTAGCGGCGGGTCGAGCATTTACGACGGCGTTAGATCCGGGGATAAATATCGTGTTCGGTTTGCATTCAACGGTGTTAAGAATACATCTCCGGGGATAGGGAGGTTATATTTTTTTTTTTTTTGTTTTGATAGCCCGAGGACGAAAGAAACGTCTCAGTCTTTGCTAGCTCATATACAATCATCGTTTGCTCCTTGGATTTACATCGGTGTGCCCCCCGGCCCCCATTACGCTTATCCCTTTGCATCGCTCACTCTATTGTACTGAAGTTCCCTATTATAAAACATGTTTACTCACACTCCGTCACCGAAGAGCCGCCAGAGGCCGAAATTCGACACCGAGCCGGACGGCGGCGGCGAGGCGAACAGCCGCTGCAGGCCGTAATCGCCGGCAGCGGACATGCGTGCGGGCGAGGAGCCCGGCACGGGGCTGGCCACCCTCGACGGCGTCGCGAATAGGTCGGCGAGCCCGTACTCCGGGCTTGCCACGCGGTACTGCGGCGGCGAGGCCGACAGGCTCCTGCGGTCCGGCTCCGGCGACGCCGCCGCCGTTGGGTATAGGCCGCGAAGGCCCAGGCTAGAGCTCGAGGACGACGACCGGTAGGCCCCCGGGACCCCCTGCTGCGGCTCGTGGCTCGCGCTGCGGCCCCGACAGCCCTCACGGCCTTCCGGGCTCGGGTTGCGCGACGACGGGGGCGTCGCGGGCCTCGAGCCGGCCGTCAGCAGCTTGTGGCTCCGCCAGCTGATCCGCCACTGCTGCCCGGCAGCGCCGCCGTCCGTGGCGCCGGCCTCGCTCGGCTCCGAGAGGAACGGCCCCATGAACCGGCGGGCGATGATGGAGATGGTCGAGCCCGAGCTGTGCTGCGAGAACCGCTGGGGGCCCATCCCCCCGACGGCCGCCCGGGCAGCGCCGCCGGCACCGGGGAAGAACCCCTGCGCGGGCCGCAGCGGGCTCGCCCCGCCCGAGCCGTCGGCCGACTCTACGGTCGCGGTGAACCGCCTCGCGCTCATGGGGCGCGACAGCCGGGAGTGCCACGAATCCGCCGGCGACCTGCCGCCGTGCATAAAGTACGGCAGCGGTGTCGTCGGCGTCCGCCTGCGCTCGGCCTGGATCCCGCTCCGCCGCTGGTGCGGCGCGGGGAGCTCGCTGCCGCCCGTGCCCTCGCCCCCGTAGTACTGGGCGCCCCCGTAATGCTGGGCGCTGCCGTAGTGTTGGGCGCTGCCGTAATATTGGGCGCCGCCGTAGTGCTGGGCGCCGAGGGCCTCGCTCGGGGAAGTCGAATACTCGACGTAGGCGCGTGCGGGCGCCCGCTGCGCGGGGGGGTTCACCGCGGGCAGAGTGAACCTCAGCAGGTTGCCCAGTTTCCTGCGCAGCGACGCGAAGAAGTCGCGCATGGCATACCTCGAACGCCGCTTTTGGCGTCGATGGTGCTGTTCGCTTGGGCGACGGTGGTGTTTCTTGTGACGCTGCTTCCCGTTTTTGTGGCGATGGTGTCTGCGCCGACTCGCCGTGCGAGCTTGGTCCGCCGCCTGATCGCAAGGCTGCCCTTCCTGGACGGGTGTCTGGCTTAATGGCGGTGCTGAGGTCGCACGCTTCAAGGACGGTCGCGACAGTTCTTCGAATTCCGGCTGGTAGTCATCGTGCCTATCCTCCCTGACAGCTTCATCCTGCCTTTTCCTGGTAGCTTCTGTCTGTTTCCTCTTCCGCTTTCGTTCCTCCTCTTTCTTCCTCTTGGCCTCATCGCGTTTCTGCTTCTCCGCTCTCGCGCGGATGATGCCGAAGAAGGACGGGGGTGATGCGGCACGTGCTGGGTGAGGCCGAGTCGGTTCCGGCCGGGGTGGCACGATGGGCTCGTCCTGCTCTGATGGTATGCTCTGTTGTCGTGCCTTCGGACGCCGCCGCCGCTGCCGCCTGGCCTTTGCGGCCGCCGGTGATGAGGAAGGTCGACGCTTTAGTCCAGGGGCTACGGACATCACATTCCCCAGCACGTCAGGGTCCGGTGGAGGAGTGGGCGGTCGATGTCCAAGATTGGCAGTGGCGAGGGCTTCATTGTGCTCTTGTTCCTGCTGCCGCAGTGCCTCGGCGATTATTTGGGGTATTGTGTGCTCATGATGTTCATCCGACGGGATGTAGATGGGGATGTCTCTGGTCTGTACCTGTGGCGGGGATTGTGGTGGGCGCGAACGCGAGCGGGAAGAGAACCGAGACGACGGGATACTGTGGGCAAGGAGATGAGCAGAACTACTTCTGGCCCTTCTGGATGGCCGGCTTCGACTGCGTCCTCGGTGACTGAGAGATGATGATGCTGCGGACCTGGACCCGTGGGGACGACGACGTTGATGGTGCTGCCTGCCAGGTTTTAATTGTTTATGGGACATGACTGCGGATCTCATGGGTCTTTGGAGGAGGTAGGCAGCTTTCTCGAGCTACCCGTCTACGATGAACAAACGGAGGAGTGGCAGGAGACGATATAGCACAAGACAGATATATCTCATTGTCGGCATGGTCCGTCTGCGTCATTGCATAAGCCGGTCCATTCATTGCCTTCCGCCTTGCACGTTCCGCAAATATAGGCAGCCTGCTTCTGCGTCGTAGCAAAAGCTCCCTCCGAGAGCGATTGTATGGATAGGTCGGAATGCACATATAGTCCGACAATCTAGGTATCGACGGCCGATCGTCGCCGACCACTGGGCTATAACATAAACACTCGCTGGCATAACACGACGCGGCCGAGTCGAATGGGAGCCCGACTTGGCCCTGCATCCCGCGGCTCTCCTGACTCGCCCATCCGACGCACGTGGTGGGTAGTGATTCGCCGTGTCCCCGAGGCCGAATCGGACACGCCGTGGCCTGGCTCTGATTCACGCGACGGAAACACGTCGCCTCGCGCACCGCGGTTTCAGCCCAGTCCGCACGGTGGTCATGACTGGGCACGACGCGCGAATGGCGAGGTGCTGGGCAGCGCGGGCGACGGCACCGGGGCATGCAATGCGGGATGTCGTGTGTACGGCGCCCTCGCCCTCGACGCCTGATGGCCGTATGCGGAGTTAGGTATTACCTGCATCCGGGCACTGATCTGGGCTTCAACGTCGGGTCGGGAACGACACGGCCATCTGGTGCCGAGCCTGAAGAGGGCGCCGCCAATGGATCTGGCCCAACACGTGGGCGGCACTGACTTGGCGGTCCATTGTTGTTGTTTACTTACGACGCGGTTGTATTGATGTGGATTGGGTAGAGTCTATTGGCCTGCCTGCTTTTCCGGCAAATCAAATGATTGAGCGATGGCCTTCTGTTGTCCGTTGATGCCCCTTTCGGATCGAACCAAATTTGCACTTATAGAAGTATCTATTCCAGCTATATAGGTCTGGAAGTGTTCCCAGTCATACATGTCTCATGGGATCGATCCAATAGGAGCGAGCCTAGCATGATTGGTCTGGTGGTCTAGTGGTATGATTCTCGCTTAGGGTACACCCTTAGCTAAGATGTACCAATTGGTATACTTGAAATTGCGAGAGGTCCCGGGTTCAATCCCCGGCCAGACCCTTTTTTGTACCTACTTACTTCGTAAGCAGTTCTGCCACGAGTCTTCTTCTTTTTTACCAATTAAGCAAGCATAAAATAAAATCGAGTGGTTTGGTGGGCCGGTGTACATTCCTTTAATTGTCGAGTGGTGCGACGACACAAGCACGTCGTGGGAGAGACGCACCCAGTTAGTTAGCCTGGCCGTTCTCAACGAGACAGCGAGACAAACTCTATCAAGGTTAGGCAAATACAACTTGTATTTACAAGCAGGCTGGAAATAGATAGTCAGTTAGTTCCCTTGCAGCATTTGCGGTGTTTCGTCATTGTCTATCTAGGTAGGTTCATGAATATGTTCTGCCTGCCTCGATCCCTTCCTCCGCCGTCCATGTTTGAATGGGCGTGTTGGTCAATACCATACATATGAGAGAGAACCTGGCTTCGTTTTCTTACAGCTTGGCTCTCTGAACCTCCGCCCCCCTTACTCTGCGCTTGTCCCGCCCCGGTCCGAGATCCTCCTCTGATTTGCCTAACCGAATCCCTGGGTGTCAGTCGCCTTCAGCACTATCGGCACCGGCCCGGGCGACGCGATGGTCATGAGGATCGAGTACCCGCAGCCATGGCGCAAGGCAAACCTGTTAGACATTCCCTGACGCACCACATGTACGTAATTAATGTTGCAGAGCTTGAGATTGTGAAAGGGCGACATCAAGTACGAGGCGGAATTTCTGCTGAGCGAATACAGGCGGCTATGCATAGTGGTTTGACGAGGGTGGTACTATGGTAAGTAGAGGTTCATGGTTGTGGGTATAACTACCTACTATCTCCCCATCACCTATGACGAAGTACACACTGGAACGTTGGCTCCGATATGTATCTCTACTTCCTCAGCAAAACCTATATAAATGGCCGCGGACTTCTCGTATCAAACGTATACACACTTTTTACGTTCCCGGCCAAATTTTTCCAGGACTCGACGCACCATGTCTCCCAACGCTAGTTAGATACACACCGACATTTTACCTTTCAAATCCTAGACCGACTTAAAGATAATTGGCATTCAACCTAAGCCCCAGCTTTGGCACAACATACCGAGCGCCCTTGAACGCAACATGGGGGGGAATCTAAATAAAACCTTTCAATACAGCAGCTTCGGCATTCAGGATTGACGAGCCAGCAGCTCCAATGACGGCTGAGAGAAGAAAAAAATGTTAGTGGCCGTGCACCGCCAAGATTAGGTCGCGCCCGTAAGAGAGAAACTCACTGTTGTGGCTCAGAGCGACGAACTTGAGATCAAAGATCCCGCTCTCGTCCTCCCTCACACGCCCGACGCTGACCGTGTACCCGCGGCTCAGGTCACGGTCGAGCCGGGGCTGCGGCCGGTCCGGCTCGTCGAAGACCATGATGCTGGGCCGGGGCGCGCTGGGGCACCCCAGCGTCTCCGCCTCGCTGACGTACTCGCGCAGGGCGGCCCGGACGTCCTCGATCGCAGGCGGGGGCCGGTTCGCGAAGCGCAGGGAGACGCAGGCGGTGTGGCCGTCGAGGACGGGGACGCGGTTGCAGGCGGCCGAGACGCGGAGCGCCTCCTGCTCGACGAAGGCCGTGCCGTCGCCACTGAGGGCGCCCAGGATCTTGCGCGCCTCCGTCTCCAGCTTGTCCTCCTCGCCGCTGATGAAGGGCACCACGTTGTCCAGCACGTCCATGCTGCTCACGCCGGGGTAGCCCGCGCCCGACACCGCCTGCATGGTGACCACGCTGACGGCGTCGACGGGGCCGAAGCGCGCCTGCAGCGCGGCGAAGGGGATGACGAGGCCGATGACGGCGCAGTTCGAGTTGCAGACCAGGAAGCCCTTCTCGAGGTTGTGGTGCCGCCGCTGGTGGGGGATGAGGTCGAGATGGGGGAGGTTCACGGTCGGTACAACGAGGGGGACGAGGGGGTCGCGGCGGTAGTTCTTCGCGTTTGAGAAGACGGCTAGGTTCGCCTTGAGGAACTCCATCTCTTTGGTGCCATCCCACGGTCAGTCTCGCCTTTTCAAATCACGTCGTCTTGGGGCGCGAAACAACGTGTTAGGGGGAAGGACCGAGACCTACCAATCTCGCCAGCCACGTCCGAGTCTAGCCCGCTGAAGACGACATCGCAGTCCGCGAATTCGCTGGCCTTGCACTCGCGCACGACGAGCTCGCCGACGGCCCCCATGGGGGACGCCTGCTTCCACCGCACGGCATCCTTGTACTTCTTGCCCGCGGACCTAGACGACGCGCCGACGGCGTGGAGGACGAAGTGAGGGTGCTGCGACAGCAATAGAATGAAGCGCTGGCCCACCGAGCCCGTGGCGCCGAGAACACCTGAACAACAACACGAGCGCGGTCAATAAATACCGTGTGACGCAGAGACGGGCGGACTACCGCCCGGGAGGAAGACCGGGTGGGGGGGGCATCGTACCACACCTCTTGGTAGGAAATTCGGGGGCCATGATGGCTATGGCCGTTGGCTTATGTCGAGGCGGGAGAGTCAAAAGGGTTGGCGCGGCCAAAAAGGGCAGATACGAGGAGCCTGACCTAGAGAAATTACACTCGGACTGTTTTGAATCAACTCGACCTTGGTTGAGTTTGAATGTCGATGGCGTTGCTGTAACGACTTTTCTGACAGCTTCCCATCAGGAAAAGCACCCCGCCGTTTCTTTCCGTCTGCCCCGCCATCCGTTATCGGATCACACAGGCGGTACTAAATGATACCTTGCACGAAGGAGGTATGAGTCGAGGTCCGTTGTCCCACCCATTCTCGGCCTAAGTTAGAACTTTAGCCTAGTAGTCTTATGCAAAAGCCATTGAAGGAGTCATGGCTCTACCTACTCCTACGTATTCGTGTTCTGTGTCGGGGAAAATATAGATGGTACCTGTCCTTAGCTAAGATAGGCTGTGACCCATCAAGTCAGGCTAACTCGAGAGCCAACTACTATTACTAACAATTTCCTATCACAATGTCATAGTATCTTGTAATGGTGTTTTTCCCTTGATATCATGCACTCTAAGAGGCCGCATAAAGCCCTTCGAAGGTATATACAAATGTTGATGGATACTCGAATAAGACAACGAAAGCACAAAAAAGACAACAATCGCCGTAATCATCAAATCTTTTCTTCCATAAGACTACCTAAACTCCTCATCCGGGAAACATCAGGAGAAACAAACCCAAGAGAACCGAGGTATATAGCCCCGGTAATGAGATACCGTCAAACTCGCCATAACCAGTTCCCATATATTCCTGAACTCAAGGTTAGCATAGCTACGGGGACTAGGATTTGCTCGTTCTTACATATCTCTTAGCTAGAGAAAGCCCTGGTAGGAACAGCGCCCATCAAGGGACGGCGGGCCAGGCTTGAGAAACCTCGAGCTTGGTTGGCTGCTGAGCTGGAGGCAAAGTGGGCCTTGAGATTTTGCGAAGCCACCTGGGCCGCCTTGTGCAGCCGTGACTCGAGATTGGAATCACCGAGCATGGCCCTACCATGCAGCGTGAATTCCGTCATGAGCTTGTTGAGCTCCTCACCCGGCTCAATACCATACCAGAACATGACATCGTTGCCCCTGACAAGACTGCCATCTGCCTTGTCGAAGAACCATGTGAGGTTCTCATCATCCGCCTTGACGGTCCACACCAAGCTGGGATACTCCTTCTGGATTGCAGCAAAGATGTTATCAGCCACGTTGGTCAACCAGCCAGACTTAGTGATGGTGAGCGTCGCCAGAGTAGCATGCTGTTCATTTACCGATGAATCGAGAACGACCGCGAGGGCTTTCATGGGCTCGTCGAAGAAAGCCTTGAATTTCCGCTCCTTCAAGAAATCGAGATATCGATCGACGGTAGATCTGGCATCTAGCACTTCACGATCCCGAACAAGGACTTCCTTTAGCTTGCTAATGTCCGCGAAATCGGAGACGTTAGAGGCAGTCATGAGCTTGTCTCCTCTACGAATCAGGGTGCCGGCTCCAGAATCTGTAAACAGTTCCTTCTGCAGGTCGGCAGGATGTATAATGGCAACGCTAGACGACCGGGGCAGGTTATCCAGTAATTCTTTAATCTCCTTAATCTTAAGGCGAGTACCGAATCTGCACCAGGGTTGGGACATGAGATGCCCAAACTCCTCATCTAGATTGATGGCGGATATCTTCTGCGCCTCTCCGTCAAATAGGCCACCCTTCTCGCTAAGATAGACGACCTTCAGCGGCTCAAGCTTACGGGCAAGCTCTCCGGCTGCTACGTCGGCGTTGACGTTCAGGACCTGCCCTTCGGTAGTCTCAGCCATAGATGTAAGGATGGGTAGGTAGCCGTTTTGAATGGCAGTCTGGATCGGCTCCTCATTCACGTCTGTAATCTTGCCAACAAACTTCCACTTGTCCTTATTCAAGTAGTCGGCGGTGAAAACGCTCGATGTGATGGGTCGCGCCCGGACGCCCATCTGTTCCAGTCGCTGGACGAGCTTGAGGTTTTCGGCTAGGAACAGTCGTCTGGCGATTCCTAGTGTCTTTCCGTCTGTTATACGGATGCCTTCCTCGAATTCGGGCTCGACTCCGGCGTCTTCAAGCAGTTTGTTGAGCTGAGGGCCGGCACCGTGGACGATGATGGGGAACAATCCAACGTGGTACAGAAATGAGAGTGATGAGCATAGCTCATCCAGGTAGTCGGTCAAAATGGCGCCCCCAACCTTGATGACGGCGAACTGCTGTGACGAGACGGACGAAAAGTGGGACAGATATTGCTGAACCTCTCGTTTGGAGCCGACATTGTTCAATACCTGGATAACGGCAGCGCGTGTAGCCGAGTCGCTGGGGTTCGATCGGGTCGAATAAGCAGCCCGGAAAGCAACAGCTGCTACAGGGCGGGTCGATTGGGCCAGTCGAGGCGTAACGCGACGAGCGCCGGCCCGGACGGCCGCGCGGGCAGCTCGCACACAGATCATCGCGACAGGGGGTGGACAACGGGCGACGACTGGAACAGGCGGCGGGTGGACAGGCAGATGAGAGGT